AATAGCAATAAGAACAACGATCACATTCTGAAAATTTGCCAATGAAAACCTATGGATCACAATAGAACATGGTACAACTTGCTTGTTTTGGACATGCCGTCAGGAAGGATCAAGTGTTGCAGAAGGACATCATGTTTGGTGAACCAGAGACCAACCATGGTGAGGGAGATCCTCAGTGAAATGGACTGGCACAACAATGAACTCACACATGTTAGCTCGCCATGAGTCAGAGTCAACTCGAGGACAGCTATCCATAAACTAAGCTAGTAGAAACCAGTACAGATTCAATCCTCACGAAGCTCACAACCTACAGAAGCACTTGCCATCTTCATGAACAGAAAGGTGGTTCAGTAGGCTAAACTGACTCAGAAAAGTCTGTAATTAAATAAAAATTAAACCAAAGACTTCTGCAAGATCTAGTGTTTTCCTAGAAGAAAAAGATTTTGTTGCTGTTGTTCTATCACTTACCAAAGATTACTGTAGGAAAGCAATCTCCTGAATTGAATAAAATAATCAAAATTTTTATTTAAAAAAATTTTTTTTAATGTTTTTAATTTTACAAATTAAATTACCACAAGTTAGTTATAAATCCATGGCAGATTTTCACATATACAAAGTTCAAGCTAGGTCAACTAACATGCCCTTGCTTGTTCCACAAACTCACATTAATTGAAATCTTAAAAGATATGAGCTCTAAAGATATGAAAGATAAGACCTAATACAAACAACACAAACCAATTACTATATTAACTGAATATATATACTTACTCTTTTTCAATCATGTGTAGATGCTTATTTTATCTGAGATTAGCATGTTTAAATGTTTGTCTTAGAACACAATAAAAACTGGAAAACAATTTAATTTTAAACAATCACGTAGCTTAATAATTGTGATGGTTAATGTTTTATGCCAACTTGATTCTCAGTAATTGGCAGATATTATGTAATCATCTTGTCTTTTGTGATCTGATGTCTGATGTGAGTAGCCGAACAGTTGAATGGAGAGTTCCCTTGAGAGTAGGGCAAAACTCACTCATTCACTCTCAATCCTACATTCAATTCGTCATCCTCTGACTTCTGGGTTCCTGGGATGTGGGCCAGCAGCCTTCGATCTCTCCTGCTGATTTTGGTCTTGTCAGCCCCTCCAACAATATGAATCAAAAGAAGCCTCCAGCCTGATGCCTGACCCACAGATTTCAGACTTGATTAATTCCACAAGTATGTAAGCCATTTCCTTGAAAAAAATCTATCTCTATATACATTTATATATATGCTACCAGTTTTGTTTCTACAAAAAAACCAGCCTAAGATAGTAATACTTATTATCCCACAAGTTATAATCCTCTCTACTGTGTGGCGTTGTGGGGTAATGTGCCAGACTGCAAAGCCATTTGAATTGTAAGGTCGGAAGTTCAGGCTCACCAGCCGCTCCTCAGAAACCATATAGATGGCGACCATCTATGGTCGGAACTGACTCAATGGCACTTCACAACAACAACAACAACTACTACTACTGCATTTTGGCCTAGCTTGCTACTTTGTGTTGGTGTGTGCCAGTGAGTAGATTTCAAGTCACAGCAATCCCATGTACAGAGCAGAACTGTCCCACTGGGTTTTCTAGACTGCAATCTTTATTTACAGGAACAGATCACCAGGCTTTTCTCCCATGGAGGCACAGGATGGCTTTGAAACACCAACCTTTTGTTAGCAGCCAAACACTTTAACTGTGACACCATTTGGGCTTGTTACTAGGAATAGACCCCAGTAAGTTAAGGAAGGAGTCCTGGTGTGGCACTGTGGGCTAATGCACCAGACTGCAAAACCGTCTGAACTGGAAGATTGGCAGTTCAAGTTCACCAGCTGCTCCTCAGATACCCTATACAGGGTCACTACGGGGCAGAATAGACTCGACGGCACTTCACAACAACAACAACAACAACAAGTTAAGGAAACTCTTACAATAATAGCACATGCTTTCATGAACATGCTCCCTCAAGAGCAGATGACTTGCTTCTCCACTCAGAGGAATTCTAACCCCTCCCAGCACCCCCTTACACATACATATTCATGCATGGGACATGAAAAGCACGTGGGTTTTAGAATCAGACACACTTAATCTCAAATACATTCTCTTTAAATCAGAAACTCATTAACAAGTCCCAGTTCTCAAGCACTTCTGCACTATAAGAATTTGCTTTTGCTTTTGTCTTGTTTGGCTATGTCTGCCAAAAGAAATGATTCCAAATTCAGGGACCCTGAAAACTGAATATTACGGTAACTAAGGTTCTCCTCATGTTTAAGATGCTTCCCTAAGACACATAAGGGGTTCTGTAGCAAAGGCAACATGAGTGTTTGCTTAATAATAATTTGGTAAATTTGTCATTTATATTTTAGGTGCTTTACTGTACGCACATTATATTTTAGAATAAAAAATATAAGAAAATGAAAAATTATCTTACTACTAGTTTTCATTCTCAGTAAAATGTACCTTTTACAAAATGTTAAAAATATGAACCCTTTCTTCATGAATCCAGTAAGATATTGTTGTTGTTGTTAAGTGCCGTCGAGTCGGTTCCAACCCACAGCGATCCTGAACAGGGTTTGCGAGGCTGTAAATCTTTATGGTAGGAGAACGCCTCATCTTTCTCCCGCGGAACAGCTGGTAGTTTTGAACTGTTGACCTTGTTGTTCGCAGCCCAATCCGTAACCACTACGCTTACAAGAGAAGTAATAATTGTCTATTCTTCATGCAATTACAGTTCAAGGTAACTAAGAAATTTCCTTTTTTTTTTTTTAAAATAAAGGAAGCTCACATTTATTTCCAATGAGGCCTCTTTGATTAAAGAACAGTACAGGAGAAAAAAAAAAAAAAAAACCTTCAAGCAACTGTGATAAATTTATGGCAACCTCCAAAGAACAAATCGCTTTCTAAGTAGATAATATAACTGAAAGTGACTATCTTTTAAAAAGAGCAAAAGACTCAAAGACATTTTCACAATCAGACACTTTCATAATTTGCAATATTCCATATCCAGGGAGAAAAAAGAAAAAGGGGATGTCTACTTGGTATGTATCCCCAAGAACTAAGAACCAATGTTCTTCACACCATGTTCTTCACAGCCCTATTCACAACAGCAAAAAGAGAGAGACAGCCTAAACGCCCATCAATGGAAAGAATGAATAAATAAACTTGGGTACATAAACAGAATGGAATAATATACAATAGTGACGAGCAGTAATAAATCTGTGAAACACTACACAACACGGATGAACATGGAAGACATTATGATGATTGAAATTAGTCAATCTCTAAAGGACAAGTATTTCATAAAACCTCAGAGAACTCAGGAGAAGGTTTTCATGCTAAAAGAAACATTCTTTAATGGTAACTAAGGGCGGAAGGGAAGGGAGATTAATTGAGTCTAATTGACACTAATGTGCTGGCTAGGCTTCTGGTGTGGTGTTGTAGGATCAGCACTGGACTGCAAACCACAAGGTCGAGAGTTCAAACCCACCAGCTGCTCATTGGAAACCCCAAGCAGGGTTGCTATGAGTCAGAACTGTCTTGACAGCACTTAGCAACAACAAAGGTGGTGGTATGGTGGTTGTGTGCTTTCAAGTCAGTTCCAACTCACAGCGACCCTGTATAGAACTTCTGAGGCTGTAGATCTTTAGGGGAGCAAAAAGTCTCATCTTTCTCCTAAGGAGCAACTGGTAGATTTGAATTGCTGACCCTGCAGCTAGCAGCCCATTTTACAATCAACTATGCTACCAAGGCTCCTTAGCTAGAGTGCAGACATGTTAACCCAGGTGACAAAGAAGATAATATACAAGAAGAGGGAGGCTGACCGAAGAATGATAAAGACAAGTGAAGACACAGGGAGGAATGCAAAAGTTAAAGGAGACAGAAGTAAATAATGTTATGTACACAACCCTCTAATAGCACTGTTCGGCAGATAGACACATGGACCGATACATAGGATGAGTGGGTATGGGAGAGAGAGTAGGAGAACACCCAAAAATCTGAGTTTGATACCTATCAATGTAGTAAAGCGTACAGGGGAGAAAACGATGAAAACTTCTTAGACATTACCAAACACCTCGAGGCAATAAGTTGCTAAGCCTGGATACCCATGTCCAAAGTCTCAGGGGAACCATGGTCAACTGGCACAACACAGACCCCAAAGACAATATTCTACATCCTGATTCAGTGAGTAGCGACTGGGATGTTAAACGTTCCTAAGAAGTCATCTAAGGTGCATTTACTGGTCTTTCCATAAACAGAGGAAAGAAGACTGATGGAAACTGAAGATTCTTGGAATCAGTAAGTCCAATGGACAGATGGTACATGTAAGCAAGCATCAGTCTCCATGACTCTGAGACAGAATAACTAGACGGTGCATGGTTACCAACTGCTCTGAAAGGGATCACATTAGAAGGTCCCAGATAGAGTGGGAAAAAATGTGGTACAAAATTTAAAATTATTTTTAAAAAAAGACTGGGCTTATTAGTCAGAAAGGAACTGTAGAAACCTGAGACTGTAACCCCTGACCACCCTTCAGGAGTGGAACAGAAGTCACCCTGTGGACCAATATTCAGCTAAGTGGTAGATAGCTATATAAGGGGGACAACAACACTAGTAAGATGTGCTCACCATGGGATGGTCAACCATTCAAGGTCAAAAGGGCAACATTAACCTTAGGACAAAGTTCAGAAAAAGCAGGAAGGAGGGTAAAATGGAAATTAGAACCACAGGGAGAAAGTTGGTACATGGGGGAATTGCAATCATTGAGAGGAAATAAAGTGTATAGTTATCTGAATGTAAAACTGATGATGTGCTCTGTAAACATTCAATCAATTCACAATAAAAAGTTTCAAAAAGAAAAAGGAAATAGGCTTAAACAAAAACTCACTATTTATTACTTGTCAAACAAAAACTCAAAAGTTCAGAAATTGGGATAAAGTTACCTGCCCAAATCCAACAAAAGTCGGCTACCTACCTTGGTCCACAGAGTGTTCAGCAAGAGCAAAAAGCTGAGGGGAGCGTTCCTCAAGTAATTGCTGATGAATGTTCACGTATCTCAAAGTCCACCACGGCAAGCTCTACAGAAAGGAAGCACCACAGAAGCTGAAACAGAAGAATACTTTGGGGGGGAATTGCTTTGACATTCATTGAAGTTAATTTTTGGAAACTTTTTTTTGTACATTCATGAAATTAAGTTTATTCTTCAGTAAACGTACCCATCCACTGATATGTTTTTAGTATTAATACCCAAACTCATATCTACATGTTCCACACACTCCAGTCTGTACTTTTAGCCAACTGGGCTCCCTGACACCACTTCAAAATGACAATCTCCTTGCAAATGTCTCATCCATCCCCACCATAATCCAAGTACCAAGGCCACCCACAAAGTCCTTCTGAGAGAATAATTCCCCTTCATCTGTACTGCCAGGACACTAGGCATACTTCTCTGCAAACATACTTCACTGTATTTGTGCTTTAAATCTTCTTCCCCATTTTGCAAAAACTCAGTCTTACTCTGTAAGATACAGAGGTCTTACTCATCTCTGTGTTCTCCTCAAATCAATATATGTTGCACAAAACACATGATAAGAAAATAACTTATATTCAGATATTCCCCAAAACTAGGATGATCCCTATCTTTCAAGTGAAACCTTTTCCATAAATCCATGTGCTATTAACGTGGCTTCTCTGAGCTTCTACTCTGTTCCTAGAAGTTAGCAACACATCAGTTTATATCTTTATCTGGACCAGACATTTCTGAAACTTGAAACTGCATTTTATGCACTGTCTTGATGAATGCACATGCTGAGAACATAGTAACTTTTATTCTCGGCTACTGGTTCTCATTTGATCAACACATTCTTATTTTAAAAAACAAAAACATTTACTGGAAAGGGTGAATATTTCTATTCCATTGCCCTAAAGTTTTCCACTTCCACCAGAAAAATCCCTGAGAAGGTTTATATTCTTTTAGACGCTCTTTTAAGCATTCATTTGTGTGATAATAAGGATTAAATGTTTTTGATAGGTTCCTTAGAATTTCAAATATGATTATACACTCAATCACTAAAAGTTCACTTAACAACACTGAATTTTTAACATGGTTAAGTTCCAAACACTAGGTCATTACGCGAAAATGTGTGTTATGCAAAATGGAGATGGCCACATCAGACCACAAAATGGAGGATGAAGGCATTATTACATAACTGCCAAACTACATCACTATTTTGTTGTTGTTATGTGCCGTGGAGTCGGTTCCGACTCATAATGACCCTGTACAGGGTTTCCTAGGCTGTATGTAAATTTTTAGGGGAGCAGAGAGCCTCATCTTTCTCCCGCAGAACAGCTGATAGTTTAGAACTGCTGACCTTGCGGTTCACAGCCCGATTCGTAACCACTACACTGCCAGAGTAAAACTGCCAAATTACTAATCTTTACATCACTGCTAGAGCACTGCGAATCATGGCACTGACGAGGTGACAAATAAGCATAACCATCACAACCAGCGTTACTCTCACCTCACACCTTGGCTACTGCAAAATGTACGTTATTAATGTATAAAATAGTCAGACAGTAGTTTTTTTTACTGTTGTTGTAAATGCAAAATGCCGGATAATGAGATAGTCAATAAGTGAAGAGTGGGTATACACTAACCCTTTAATTACATGAAGATGTAAGAAATTCATTTTCCCTTTTTAAAAAAAGCAATACCTACCAATATGAGACCAAGTAATCACACTGACTTGAACTTAACTTTTTCATTTGATTAATCAGTAAAACAGCCTGGTTACTTCTAAACTGTTTAGACAATTGCTACCACACTGATGTAATCACAAATGAATTTTTACTCTATGACAAAATCACTTCTAATGATTAATATTGTTCCTCAGTCCATGCAACAAGTGGTAGAATTATCTAATAGAAAGGACATTTCATATCATTTTTCATTTAATTCCCTGAGATGTTACCTCATTTTTCATTCTTTTCCTATCACTAAGGCTAATAAAGTTAGTCCATATTTCAGTCCTCTGTCCCTTATCTGTTGTCAGCAATAAGTGAGTCAGGTTTGGCAGCAGAAACTTTCTTTTTCTAGACATGGGAATTTAGACAGATTCCGTCAAAAAGACTGCCCTTCTAAGAAAACATTACACAAAAAATGCTGATCTAGTATTAGATGTATAACTTAACACTTAGCCTGAAGTCTTTATTTGTGTAAGAGGAGTAATGAAACAAATTTTTCTACTAGAAAATATACCAACTGCCTTGTTGTCTGTGAAGGACTGCTTAAAAGAAAAATTGGGCATTATTTAAAATGGAAACTTGAAACCTTGATTCAGCTCATTTCTAGATCCTGTCTCCTGATTACAGCACTTATCACAGACATTCCGACTGAAACTTCGCACTAGTCAACAGCCTCCTGGAAGGCATGGGCCATTAGTATACTCAAAAGACTCAAAAATGTTTGCCAAACTCAAAAATGTTTGCCAACTCACTCCATTTTATAAATAGAGAAACTGACACACCAAGAAATTAATTAGCATAATGTCACACAGCTTTTAAGTAGCTAAACCAAACAAACTGTGGTCTGATTTCAAAAATAAGAATCCTTTCTCAACATTTATGGAGCTCTGAAGGCACAGCGGTTTTGAGTTCGGCTGCTAATCTCATGTCAGCAGTTCAAATCTACCAGCGGTTCAGTGGGAGAAAGATGAGGCTTTCTGCTCCTTTAAGGTTTGCAACCTTGGAAAGCCTATTCAGGGTCGCTATGAGTCAGAACTGACTCCATGGCACATAACCACCATTAGACTAAAGAGTAACAGAGTAGGGGAATTGTCTTCCTCCTGATGTACTGCTGTAGGGTCAGCAATGGGACTGCGAACCAGAAGGCCAGCAATTCAAACCCACCAGCTGCTCCTTGAAAACCCTATGCAGGGTGGCTATGAGTTGACACTAACTTGAAGGCACTAAACAACAACAGTTCCCCAAAAACAGTGATATCATAAGGAACAACTCCATATATTTCTTAGAAGACAGGCTATTAAAAAATTAGTTTTAAAGGTTAAAATTAACTTGAATAATTAGCTATTGCTTATTATTTTATCTTCATTTATCAAACAGCTATTTTTGAACATCACCACTAACAGAACAATAAACTGATGACCCAATACATAAAAAGCTTTAAAAAAAGAGTAACGGTTCAATTAAAAGGCAATGCTCACATGGTGATATAAAAGGAAATGGGGCTTTAAGAAGAAATCAAAAGTTGCTTAGAATCTGCTAAGAAATTAAGATGACTTGTCTGCCAACCCTACAAAATGACACCCACACTGGCAGTTCCCATATTTACTATTCTTCTAAATTGCTGAGAAAATTGATGAACAACAACAACAAAAAAAAAAAACTGTATCATTAACCCATTAATGACCATTAGTCTCACTAGAAAGAAAATGTCATTTGGCAGCCTTATGCCTTGGGGATACTTTCCTTGAGCCAAGTACCGATCAGCCTGTAAAACCATTTAACTCAGATGAGCTTGGGAAAAAACTTTATTCAAGCTAATGTCACTAAAAGATCAAAGACCAGTTGCTGCAAAGTCAATCTGACTCATAGATAACCCAAATATGTAAGAGTTGATATACGCTTCATAGGATGTTCAATGGCTGGCTTTTCTTCTGAGGTGCCTCTGGATGAACGCAAATCTTCAGCCTTTCAGTTTGCAGGAAATTGCATTAACCATTTGCACCACACAGAAGCTCCGTCAACAATGGAGACCTCATATCTCCAAGGATATTTTGAAACCCTTCTATTAAAAACTCTTCCAGAGACTTCTGGAAAGATGGCAGACTAGGCAGATGCACTACATGAATGCTCTACAACAAAAATACTAGAAACACAGAGAATAAAACAGACATAGATGAAAATTCTGGCACTCTAAACTTCAGAACAAAGGTTAGAGAGGTGGATAGAGTACTTGCTGGTAGAAGAAGCTGAGCAGGGATGGAGAGAGACAGAGTGACTGGTGAACAGTTGGCCATATGCAGCTTGACCACCTTGTGAGCAGCTTTGACAATGGAGGGAGAACAGATGGAACAGAATCACGTTAGTGACAGAAAAGGTATGATTTCTTCTTTTTCCCCATGCTTGCCTGGTGACCAGAAATGTGGCTACCTCCCATCCTCATCTACACCCAGCACAGACCCTGCCTGCTCTCAGGGAGTTCAAAGCCATGTGGCTGGGAGCCACACTAGTGTGATATGAGGCCAGCTGTGTTGCTTTGGTGTGCCACTTTGGTTCCTGGATTCAGGTAGGCTCAGTTCTAAACTTACAAACCCCAAAAGCCCACCAGACCACTCTGTCCCCAGCTTCCCTGTGGTCCTAACAAACATTAAAACTGGCTTCATCAAGGGCTCCCACAAACTCCTTCCATACTGAGTACCCTGAACACAGATAACACTGAGGCCAGTAGGAACTCCATCTAGGACCAGGAACTCTGCTGCAACAGCCCTTCCACAATCACCTCATGAGTTTCTTGAACTGCAGGAGCCCACCAGAGATTTCTCCCTTATAGGTCCAACAACTGCACTATTTGTTTTTACAAATACAACAATCCTACAATGCCCCAGAGATGAATGCTTTTAGCTCACAGGAAGAAACAAGAGAGAATGGCTCAAACAAATGACAAGGATGCAGAGCCAGAAAACATTTCTGAGAAAGAAAAGGTAATGAAACTAACTGAAAAAGAATGATAATTAGGTACCTTCAAAGGATTGATAGAAAGATCAAGGAAAGCAAGTATAACACAATAAAAACTTTAGAATAAATCAGGAAAACACTACATGAACAAACAGACCCTCCCCCAAAATGCAAATTTTTAAACAATACAAAACCTGCCATTATAAATCCAGAATATTAATACTAAGATCTCAGAAATGGGTAATACATTGAAAGGGCAAACAGATGTGAAGCAATGGAAGCCCAAATCAGTGAGCTTGAAGATAATATTTCAGTACTAGTATGCCAGAAGAACAATCAGAAAAAAGGATGAAAAAAGTCAAAGAAAGCCTAAAACTTATGT